TCCTGAATGCTAGGACTCCACTCCTGGCCTAATAATTTTCTTTTTCTTTCTTTGTTTCTTTCTTTGTTTCTTTCTTTTTTTTAAAGATCCAGTTTCTCTGTATATCTTTGGCTGCTATGGAATGCTCTCAGTAGATCAGGCTGGCCTTAAACTCAGAGATGTACCTGCTTCTACCTTCTGAGTGTTGGAATTAAAGGTATGCACTACCACCACTGGCCAAAAAGAAAAAGAAAAAAGAAGCCGGGCAGTGGTGGTGCACGCCTTTAATCCCAGCACTTGGGAGGCAGAGGCAGGCGGATTTCTGAGTTCGAGGCCAGCCTGGTCTACAGAGTGAGTTCCAGGACAGCCCGGGCTATACAGAGAAACCCTGTCTCAAAAAATCCAAAAAAAAAGAAAGAAAGAAAAAAGAAAAAAAAAGGAGGATGAAAAGGAAGAAATCTATAATTAAAAAATAATTATGCAAGACACCCTAGCTTTAGAGAAGAAATAGATCCATGTTTAAAAATATTAAGTCCATTTTCCATTTTTGCTTGTCACACATAATAGCCTATATCTACAGGCAACAGATCACTTGATAGGAAATGGAGGTCCTGGATAGAACCATGGAGACTTCTTGAATAACTTCTGAAACCTACTAAATAACAAAACAGCAGGAGTAGGTAGAAGCAGTAAAATCTCAAGCCACATGTTGACAGGAAATCTTAAGGCCTGGCTGGAGAGATGGCTCAGCAGTTAAGAGCACTGATTGCTCTTCCAGAGGTCCTGAGTTTAATTCTCAGCAACCACATGGTGGCTCACAACCATCTGTATTAGGATCTGACGCCCTCTTCTGGTGTGTCTGAAGACAGCTACAGTGTACCCATATATATAAAATAAATAAATCTTTAAAAAACAAACAAACAAACAAGTTGCTTTTAATGTGACCCCATTGCCTTGTTTGAAAACAAAAAAGAAAAAATAAAAAAGAAAAAGAAATCCTAAGACCACTGCCTTTGTGTACATTTCACCTAGCTGAAGTCACAGTGAAGAACAGCCTCATCTCAAGCTGAGCCTGGTGTCTTATGCCTGGGATCCCAGCACTTGGCAGAATGAGCTGGAAGACTGTTGTGAATTCCAGAACAGGAGAGAGGAAGAAAGAAAACATTTATCTGTTTAAACAAAAGACTCTTCTTGTGATTTAGAATAGATTCAACTGAGAGAAACTAACCTTGTTCTGTCACACATTTATTCTCACGGAAGTAGGTGAAGTATAAACTAGTAATAATATTAATACTGGGTTTCTGGACAAGAAAGATATTCACATCATCTTTGTAACTCCTTGGATATGAATCTGCACACAGGCTGAATCGTGGAGTGTAAAGCTGCCTCAGCTGATGACTGCCCCACCAACTCAACACTTGCTATCTGACTAAGCCAAGACAAAGGCTCATTGCCGTTTTCATTATTAAAACTACTAAATTGGCTAAGGGCTACTGCAAAAACCTGACAAGTTTCCAAGGCAGTCAGTCTTAGACCTCCAATAAAACCTTGTTTCTATACGGCTATTACCTCAAATAGAAACATGGCCAGCTCTTGTCCTGATTTAAATTCTGCAATGGTTCCTCAGGAAACAAAAAAACTCTCAACTCCATACCACAGAATACCAGGCCCTTTGTGATTAGATCTTTTCCCACTTTTTGTGCTGTGTGCAGTTCTGTGTGATTATCACACTTGGCTGTTATTATCAGGTGCTCTGTTGTTAAATCATATTAGCCTGTAGTAAGTCTCATGAGTGCACATGATCCTGTGGCCTGGCCATTAACAGCTCTTCTCTAGGCACAGAATACACTTCATTCCTAGTCTTTAGTCCAGGCTGTTTTCATTTACGTAGGAAGCCTTCCCAAATACTCAAATTAGTCAGACATCTTATACTAGCACTGTTACTTTTCACAGTTCACAATTACAAGCTACAACATTTCCCCACCCTGCTGAAATGAACCTAGGGCCTCACAACATGCTAGGCACTATGTAATCCATGAGTTATATAGTCCCAGCTCCACTAGCTTTTGGGCCATCTGCTTTGCTTATCGTTTTATTCCTGGTGACTCAAACAGAGTATGCAAACATTAATAGGCAACCAAAAAGGATTCCTTCATCAATTGTAATAAAAGGTGTAATTCCATGGGATTGTGTCAAACTGACAAGATTTTCTTTTTTTTTTTTTAAAGATTTATTTATTTATTATATATGAATACACTGTAGCTGTCTTCAGACACACCAGAAGAGGGCATCAGATCTCATTACAGATGGTTGTGAGCCACCATGTGGTTGCTGGGATTTGAACTCAGGACCTCTGGAAGTGCAGTCAGTGCTCTTAACCACTGAGCCATCTCTCCAGCCCCCTGACAAGATTTTCTAATACAAAAGTCAACAGAGTGAAAAAACAACCTGCTGAATGAGAGAAAATATTCAAACTATTTAATCAACAAGGGATCGATATCCAGAGTATACGAGGAACTCAACAAGCAAAAACAAACATCCAGAGAAAAAAAATAGGTAAGTGATCTGACAAGACTTTTTTCTTTGGGGGGGAGACAGTGTCTCACTCTGAAGCCTTGGCTGGGTAGCCTAAAACTTGGAGACCTGCCCACCTCTTCCTCTCAGTGTTGGGACTATGGGACTAAAGGTGTGTGTCACTACTTTCAGCCCTGACAGTTTTCTGTTTGTTTGTTTTTGAGACAGGGTTTCTCTGCATATCCCTGGCTGTCCTGGAACTCACTCTGTAGACCAGGTTGATCTTGAACTCAATTGAACTGCCTGTCTCTGCCTCTGGTAGTTCTTAAAAGAAGACATGTAGAGGCTGCATCAATTCCTTCTGACTATGACAGAACCAAATGTTATATTACCACTGGAAAATAAGAAAAATTCTTAACTTCTAATTACAACTGATGATGGACTTTAGAAGACTGCAGTCCCTATACTGTCATTTGCTTATGTGTATGTCTGTCTTTGGTGAATTCATGTTGAGTATACCTTAAAGATCAGAGGTCTACACTGTCCTTTTCTATTGTCCTTATTTTCTGAGACAGTGTTTCTTATTGACTGGCTAGACAGTGAACCCTTGGAATGTGCCCGACCGCACCCTCCAAATGCTGTGGTTATAGGTACACCTGGCTAGTCAGAACTCAGACCTTCAGGATTCCAGAATAAGCACTTTACCCACCAAACACTGCCCCATGTTGCCTTGTTTTTTTTTTTTTTTTTCTTATGTATGTTTAAGTAAGAGGACCATTTGTGGGAGTTGGTTCTCTTTCATTATGTGGGTGTTAGGGCTTCATTCATATTGCATTTCTTTTACTAGCGGTGTCTTAGTTTCATCTTCTTCCACTGTCACATTGTACTTGTAACCAGGAACCAAGAAAGATGAATGCTTCTTCCTTTCACTCAGCTCTCTTTTCCCACTTAGACAATCTAGGATTCCAGCCAGGGAATATGCTACCTACAATGGGTAGGTGTTACCATCTGGATTACAGATAAAGCTCACAACTGAGATTAACCATTATAAGCAGATACTCTCAAATATCACTGCAATAGTTTAGCTATGGCTTGTTCTCTAATGGTTCATATGCTGGAGACTTGAACCCAGTCCGTAGTATAGAAAAAGGTAGGGCATGGTTCTGCATGCCTGGAATTATTCCTGTTCTTTGAAAGGTGGAAGCAGGAAGACCAGCAGTCACAAGACCTGTCTCAGCTATAGGACATACCATGCTATGACACTGTCCTCATCAGACATTGGGGCTATGCTGTTTGGAGTTTCTAGTTTCTAGCCACCAGAAGCACAGACCAAATGAAGAACCTCTTTTGGGGCAGTGGAGTAAGGGTTGAGACAGGGTTTTACTTATATAGTATTGGATGACCTAGAGCTTTTTATGTAAACCAAGCTGGTCTCAAACTTATGAAGACCCACCTGCCTCTGCCTTCTGAGATTAAAGGTGTACACCACCACCCCCCTACATAAAGTACCCAGTCTTAGATACTTTATTAAAGCCACTCAAAATAAACTGGAAAATCAAAAATCTCATTAATGTTAGAAAGCTGTAAAAAGGTCTCAGAAAATGAAGTGCAGAAATTCACCATCTGCAGCAAGCAATTAAACAATTAATCACAGTTTAATAAGGTAATCTTGCTAGAGGTATGGCAGCACATACCTGCAGCCAGAAGAATCAACAGCTTGGGCTATATGGGAATGAATGAATGAATGAATGAATGAATGAATGAATGAATGAATGAATGAATGAATGATTGAGTTTGTTTGCTTTTGTTTCGTTTTAGAGACAGGATATCTCTAAATACCTCTAGGCTGGCTTTGAATTCTTGAGCTCAAGTGACCTCTTTTTGTTTGTTTGTTTTGTTTTGTTTTTCAAGACAGGGTTTCTCTGTGTAGCCCTGGCTGTCCTGGAACTCATTCTGTAGACCAGGCTGGCCTCGAACTCAGAAATCCGCCTGCCTCTGCCTCCCAAGTGCTGGGATTAAAGGCGTGTGCCACCACCGCCCGGCTTCAAGTGACCTCTTGTCTTGGTCTTCCACATTCTAAGTAAGGGGTGTGCCATCAAGCCCATGAGACTTTGCTAATAGTGCCTGTTATCAGCATCGAGGTTTTTTTTTTATTCTTTCTTTATTTTAAAGATTTGTTAATTTTTACTTTATATGTATGAGTATATGCCTGCATGTATGTATGTGTACCAGGTGCATGCCTAGTGCAGGTGGTGCTTATAGAGGCCAGAAGAGGATGTTGGATCCTCAGGAGCTGGAGTTACACACTGGTAAACTTGTCCTGTGGGTGCTTGAAATCAAACCTAGGTCATCCTCTGCAAGAGCAGCCAGTGCTCTTAACTGCTGACATCTCTCCAGCCTCTCCAGTTTTCTTAGACTTGTTTGTAATTCGTCATGAAGATATCAAGACGGGCAACAGATGTATCATAAGCCAATGTGAGACTTCTGAAATTATAGCAGCTGTTTACCTTTTTCTGTGCCGGAGAATATGGAGATGATTTTGTTCCTGGGTTTTTTTTCCTCTGGAACAGAAGGCAAAGGTTTCAAACTGTGATTGGCTGATAAAGGATCTTTTCCTCCGGTGCTAAAAATGGTACTGCTCATTCGCACTGGAGGTGCTGGGGGCTTGTCTTCTAGCTCTCCGTTATCAGACATGATTCCAAATTATGAAACGGCCTGAAAGAGACAACCCCAAAGCATTCAATTAATTACAAGGTTAAAGATAGCACAGACAGCAATTACCCCCACCACAGCTGCAAATTAGAAAGATGTGATCCAGTTAGTGACATTTGCAAAATTTGAATAAATGATAAAAGATAAAACAAATTTCATAAAACCAATCTCCACTAAATAGCCACAGAAATGTTTGAAGAACATGTTCACACTAACTCTCATTACAAGCAATTTACCTAACAATCCTGAAATAACTCCGAAATATAGAAGAAATGTTTGTGTGTTGCCTCATTTTTGTCACCATGATACAAACTAAAATCCCCTGGGAAGAAGAAGAACCCTTAGCTGAGAAATTGCCTCCATCAGACTGGCCTGTGGATAAATCTGTGAGTAGTTTCTTAGCTAATGACTGATATGGGAGGGCCCAACCCAATGTTGACAATGCCACCCCTGGGTGGGTCCTGGGTCATATTAACAAGCAAGCTGTGCAAGGCACAGGGATGGAACGAGCTAATAAGTAGCAGTCCTCATGGTTTCTGCTTCAAGCTCTTGCCTTGGCTTTCCCTGATAATAGACTGCAATCTGTAAGTCAAATTAACCTTTTCCTTCCCCAGGTTGGTTTTAGTCAGTGTTTTAATTTTTGTTAATTTTAAAATTTTCATGTAATATCAGTGTTTCAACACAGCATTAGAGAAGCAAATTAGAACAGTTTGAATTTTTTATGATTTATTTATATTGTATGTGCTGTGTTTTGCCTGTGTGTGTGTGCGCGCACTGGAGTTGCAGACAGCTGTGAACTGCCATGTGGCTACTGGAACTCAAACCCAGGCCCTCTCCATTAGCCACTGCTCTCATGCACCAAGTCATCTCCCCAGCCCATTTGTTCTTAAGGAATCAGACCTAAACTTGTAGGGCTCCTCCTGCCTCATAAATACCAGGATTACAGGAATGGCACACCACATAATATGGAATCTTAAGAAAAACAGATTTCTGCCGGGCGGTGGTGGCGCACGACTTTAGTCCCAGCACTTGGGAGGCAGAGGCAGGTGGATTTCTGAGTTCGAGGCCAGCCTGGTCTACAGAGTGAGTTCCAGGACAGCAGAGAAACCCTGTCTCGAAAAACCAAAAAAAAAAAAAAAAAAAAAGAGAAAGAAAGAAAAAGAAAACCAGATTTCTGAAGAGGAACACTGCGTCTCTTGAGCAGTCACACTGGGTCTCTCTGCTGGGTCTACTGCTGGAAGCAGAGATGACTGAGTGCTTGGCTCTCCTTTATACGTTATTTATGTACCCACATGCACGGGAAGACCTGAAGCTGATAAAGGTGTCTTCCTCAATCACTCTAGACCTTGAATTTTTCAGAGGTTTTCACTGAAGCTTGAATTGCCTTGACTGCATGGCTACACAAGCCCCAAGGATCCTATTTCTACCTCCCTAGTGCTGTGATTATGACACCTAGCTTTTTTATACAGGTGCTGGGGACCCAGGTTCAGGCTGTTATTTGTACAACAAACACTTTGTTGACTGAGCCATCTCCCCAGATCCAGTTCTTTAGCTCACTATTTATGTTTAGAGCACTGATTGGTGTTTTGCTTGCATGTATGTCTGTCTGAGAGTGTCAGAGTATGTTACAAACTAATCATGTGGGTGCTGGGAATTCTCTTAACCTCTGACCACTGAGCCATCTCTCTAGACCCCAGTTCCTCAGCTCTTAAACCTGACAAACCAACACTTCTTTAATTTGACTGGATGCACAAGAGCCTTGTGATTGATTTTAATTTAGTCTTTCAAATGAACATTCCTAAAGCAATGTGTCACTAATCAAAATTGATGAAATGGAAATGAAAATACAAAGAAACAATGAAATGAAAATTTGGTTGTTATCTGAAAAGAGTAAGATGACCAATAAACTCTTAGCCAAACTAACCAACAACAAAAAAAAGTTTAAAGTTAAGAGACAAAAAGACACCGGGCGGTGGTGGCTCACGCCTTTAATCCCAGCACTTGGGAGGCAGAGGCAGGCAGATTTCTGAGTTCGAGGCTAGCCCTGGTCTACACAGAGTGAGTTCCAGGACAGCCAGGGCTACACAGAGAAACCCTGTCTCGAAAAACCAAAAAACCAAAAAAACAAAAAACAAAAAAAAAGACATTATAAACAAAGATCAATGAAATTCAGAAAATCATAAGGACATACCTTAAAAACTTACATTCCACTAAATTGTAAAATCTAAAAGAAATGACTAATTCCCAGATGCAGAGAGCCTACTATAATTAAACCAAGATAAGATAAATAATTTAAGTAGATCTGTAATAAGCAATGATATTGAAGGAAACCCTCCTAACTAAGTAAATTTAGGCCCAGATCAGAATTAAAGACATCTTCTTTCTCTGCTCAATAGCACTTCAAGTCTTAGCTAGAGACAAGAGATCAGTAGTTTTCCAACAGGTTGACAGTAAACATTCTGAGAAAGCAGGGAAACAACCCCACAACTGCACACTGCCTCAAAATCAAAACAAAACACACAGTGGAATAAATCCAACCAAAGAAGTAATAGACCTATAAAATGAAACCTTTAAAACATCAAAGAAATTGAAGACACTACAAGACGGAAAAAACCTACCACATTTTTGGATTAATACAATTAATATTATAAAATGGCCACCTTACCAAAAGCAATCTGCTGATTCAAGGCAATCATCAAAATTCCAATGCCACTCCTAACAGAAATAGGTAAAAGAATTTTAAAGTTAACAAGGAAGCACAAAAGACCCAGGTAGCCAAAGCAATCCTTAGCAAAACTAAGAATTCTGGAAGTAACACCATACGTGACTTCAGTTTACACCCTAAAGCCATGGTAACAATGACAGCATGGTACTGGCACAAAAAACAGACATCCAGACCATCTGAACAGAAGACTCAGACTCAGATATGAAACCCCACAGCTACAAATACCTGATTTTTGACAAAGATGTTAACAGTATACATTGGAGAAAAGATAGCCTCTTCAACAAATGGTGCTAGGAAATCCGGATGTCCATATATAGAAGAATTAGATCCTTAAGTCTCACAAAATCAACTTGAAATGGATCAAAGATCTTACTGTAAGATCGAAATTCTGAAACTGCTAAAGGGAAAACGACATAAAACACTTGCAAAGGCAAGGAGGTTCTGAACAGGGCCCTTAAATTCTGAAACTGCTAAAGGAAAAACTAGGGCAAACACTTAACACTGTTCTGAATAAACTCCTCTCACTCAGGAAATAAGGTCAACAAACGACAAAGGGACATCATGAATTAAAGCTTCTGTACAATAAAGGAAATAGTTAATCAAGTGAGAGACAGCCAGATAATAAGGGGAAACCTTGGCTAGCTATACAGCTCAGAGAGGTTTAATATCACACAAGTGCATTCAGCCTTCACTAATGCAACACAGCATCATCCACGAAGGAAACAACTAAATCACACACATACAAAGACAAAAACTCATAGTATTTGAACTAAGCTTAATATTTTGTTTTGGGTCTCTTTCTATCCATGTGGCCCATGAACTGCATGCAGGCTGGACATACCTGACAGAATAAACAAAGAACTAAAAAAAACAAAACCCTAAATAACAAAACAAAAACAATCAAGCAGCACAATTACTGGGCTAATGAAGTTAACAGACAGCTCTCAAAAAATAAGAACCTGAAGGGGTGGCTCATCCAGGCCTGACAACACTTCGATAGAACAGACTCCTGTAAGGTGACAGGAAGAGAACTGAATTCCAACCTTGCCCTCTGGCACTATGGCATTCACAAACACATGGACACAAAACAAATCTGAAATACAAACAGCAATAAATACATAAAGAATGCCCGATCTCAATACACCATCAGGGAAATGCAAATCAAAGCTAGGCTGAGATTCCAGCTTAAGGGTAGTCAGAATGGCAGTCACTAAGGGAACAAGTAACAATAAATGCTATTAAGGAGTCCAAAGAGAATGCTAAGCATTGCTGGTGGGAATGTAAACTAGTTCAGTTATTATGAAAGTAGTGGTAGAGGTTCCCCAAAAACCTAAAACAAGAACTTCTATAAGTCCCAGCTACATCACTGATGGTTTTGCCAATAGACTCTAAGTCAACATGTCAGAGAGACACTTGAAGGTCAGTGCTTACTGCAGCATTATTCAAAGGAACTACACCATTCCATGGACCGTAGGCATCCAACAAGAGAATCAGCAAAGCCTGAGCTATCTGTGAGTAAGTGTGTAAAGGTACAAAAGGAACCAACAGGAAAGGCAAGAAAGAGGGAGCACAGGGCATTGTGGGAGTCAAAGACTCAAATACAACAATATTCTTGCACTAAAACTTACAGATGTGCTATGAATACAAGAGTTAGTTTCTGAAAATCTGAAACAGGAAACCTGACTGGTCTGAGTACAGTGATAAAGTTAAATGTATAGCATGCCCAAGAATCAGTGTGGCTGTAATGCCAAGACTCTGTCACCTTCTAATGCCCTGCTCAGACAGACAGGTGACATCTCTCTCATAGCTAACTTGGTGGACATTTTAACTCCACTTGCATACATGTATGGATATATATTCTGTCTTTTTTGTTTGGTTGGTTGTTTTTTCAAGACAGGGTTTCTCTGTGTAGTCCTTCCTGGCTGTCCTGGAACTCACTCTGTAGACCAGACTGGCCTTGAACTCAGAAATCCGCCTGCCTCTGCCTCCCAAGTGCTGGGATTAAAGGCGTGCGCCACCAATATTCTGTCTTTTATATTTAAAAAGAAATTGCGTGTGTGTGTGTGTGTGTGTGTGTGTGTGTGTGTGTGTGTACGCGCGCGCACCTGTCTGTATGAGTATATTCTGTCTATGTGGGGGTGTCTGAGGTGGCCAAAAGAAGACATCTGTTCTACTTACTGGAGCTGGGGTTACTAGAGGTTGTGAGTCACCTGATGTTAAGTGCCAATAACTTTGTCCTCTTGAGGATAACTGTTAAGCTATCTCTCCAGTCCCCTTG